GACCTTAGTTAAGATGCTCGAATCAGGATCGGACTCTAGAATTCAGGGCATTCAGATATGACTCTAGAAATTAGTATCCTCCGATATGACTCTAGAGTTCCTCAGGATTCATGTCAGTAATTATCGGCCATTTTTGGCAACTCGTCAAGAGATCTGTGTGCCTTAGTTATCAGTCAGAATATTAACACGTATTCAATAATGTTAAACTTCCTCAATGTTCAGATGTCGCCACGTAGGGAACCCGATCATCCGGCTCCTACTCAGGCTACTGTAGTCTCACAGTTCCGCGACTATCACGCTGAAAAGTTCTCAGGGCAGGGAGATCCGCACATTGTAGATGAATGGATTCAGGGCCTAGAGTTTATCTTCGAGGTCATGGACTGTCCTGATAGGTATTGCATAATCTGCGCTCAACTTCAGCTCACTGGTGATGCACGGCTCTGTGGAATGCCTACTGGAGCATGCGTCCCGGTGAAAAAGCGGGATGTACGTGGGATATGCTCAAGGAGCTAGTCCGCGAGAAGTACTACCCCTCTTATTATCGGGCAGAGATGGAGCGTCAGTTCTTATCGCTCCAGTAGGGTACTCGTACAGTTGATGAGTACGAGAGGGAGTTTACTAGGCTTGCAGCTTTCGTTCCGGACTTGGTTCGCATGGAGGCCCAGAGGGCACAGCGGTTCATCGACGGGCTTTACCCAGCAGTCCGTCATAACATTGTGGGACACGGGACACAGACCTATGCTCGTGCAGTTTCTATCGCCCAGGAGGTGGACGCAAGCATCAAGAGGGAGATCGTCCGTGATCGTGCCCAACCATCCGCCCCAGTTCAGCCATTCGCAGCTCCACCAGCCCTACCAGCTGCTCAGCCAGCGAAGGAGAAGAAGAAGAAGGGGAAGGACGCACAGACTGACATGAGGACCCGTCATAGACAGCAGCCGGTTCCACCGTGCCCGACTTGCGGACGACTTCATCGGGGAGAGTGCCACATGGGTCAGGATATTTGCTACTACTGCCACGAGCCTGGACATTTTGCGAGTCGCTGTCCGAAGAGACTTCAGCAGCAGCCTCAGCAGCCTCAGCAGCCTCCGCAGCCACCACAGCAGCAGCAGCCACGTCAGCAGGCGCAGAGGCCGCCTCAGCAGCAGCAGCAGAGGGGCAGACAGCAGGCCCGGGTTTACGCGGTTGATCAGGCAGAGGCAGCACAGCAGCCAGGTACTATGTCAGGGATGGTCGTGCTTAATGATTGTTTGTCCCATTTTTGTTTGGATTTTCGTGATTATTTTTCCTTTCTTTTCCCCCATTTTATATTTTTTCTTTTAGTTTTTGTCCGTTTTGTCTCTCGTCGTGTGTTTTCTCCTATTTTAGAGTCTTTGTGTTTTTTCGGTTACTTTGGTTCCGGATTTCTACGTTTTTCTTGTGTTTCGTGGTGTGCAGGTTGAGTCCTTGGTCGAACTTGGATATGGAGGGAAGAATTGATTTGATGAGCTTAATTTCGTACGTTGGCGTCACACGGGAGAAAACATAATCGAATTCGTTTTCCAAACGAACTCGAACGAACACGAAGCAGTCCAAGGAAGTTTAAGCTCTCGGGCCAGAAAACGTACACATTTCAGCACCATCGAGAATTAATCCAAGATTCAACCTTCTCTATCTGCCAACAACAGATTTTCGGGGCAAATTGAACTAAACAGCACTGGAGATCCTGCAGCTTTTCCCAGACCGAATCAGTCCGACAAGGCAAGCCCGAGCAGGCCCTTCTTAGTCGTAGGATGTAACCCAAATTTCCGGCGGCCAGAGCAATCGGAGCAGACAGGTGCTACATCTCCCTCACGGCGGACAGCAGCTCCCCATCACGGCGTGGCACCAGCACCATCACGGCGCGGCGAGGACTCTCATCACGGCGTGGCACCAGCACCATCACGGCGCGGAAGCACCTGCACGGCGCGGCCCTTCACCCCTCCGCGGCGCGACATCTTCCTCACGGCGTGAGTCCCACCTACTTTTTTCACGAGCTCCGCCCAGATTTTATGGCCGCGGCCGCGACTTCTCCTCCGCGGCCGCGGCGAACAACAAGCAGCTCCCAGCGCTCAACTTCAGAGAGGAAAATTCGCGGCCTCGGGATGAGTCGCGGCCACGGGACCATCGTTCACCGCGGCCCGTGAGCTCCTCCGCGGCCGCGAGGCGCGCGCAGATCAGTTTTTTTATTTAGAGCAGATTTCGTTTTTGAAAGAAGGCTGGGCCACCCAGCTA